CTTTATATTATTAAACGCTTTATATTATTAAACGCTTTATATTATTAAACGCTTTATATTATCGAACACTCTACAATTTCTTAGCAACGAAAATTAACGAAAATTAACTCTTTTTCTTAAATAACTATGTAAAACCTTAATATCTTTCTATAAAATTTTTAATATAGATAGAACTATACTATATACACCTACTATTAAAATTATACTAAGATATATTATGTAATTAAAAAGCTATACGTATTTAACTAACTTTTTAGAAAAAATCTACTTTACTTCTAGTAAGTACTATTATATCTCTATAATAATATATAAAACTTATAGTATAGAGTATCTATAATATAATAAAGGTTTCTAGAAAACTTCTATAGAGCTAGCTCTTCTAAGTATAGCGTAATAAGAGTATTATAGCGCGAATAAGAAATAAGAATTTAAGATATATAATAAGTTATATAATATTAAGCTATAAAAGCGCTAAGACGTAGAGAAGATATCTACTATACTAAGACGCTAAAATAGCTAAGATTACGTAGCTATATAGATAGGTTAGTACTATAATAGTACCTTTCTTCTAAATAGCTATATATCTTAAATAGCTTATAAAATAATAAAAAATTTAGACTAACTAGTATCTATAGTCTTTTTACCTATTATAGTAGACCTAGCTTATCTAGATACTAGGTATAAAACCTTAGTAACGTATTATTCTAACTCTTTAGATCTAACGCTAGTTACTATATTATAGTATAGTTCTTCTACTTAATAAAATACTATAGTTCTAGTTACTTATTATAGTAGTCTAATATTATATTAAACTTCTACTTTTTAGTAAGTTCTTCTATTCTATTCTCTCTTTTAAGAACTCTTTTATAAAGATAGTATAACTCTACTTTATTAATTATCTATTAATCTAGAAGGCCTATAGAAGCATACTAGAGATAGAGTAGTAAGTTATAGAATACTAGAAAAATTTATATATATAATAGAAGTTCTAGTATATATAATTAGTTATAGATCTTTAGTACTTTATATAGTTCTATAAGCTTATTATCTTTCTTTTTTATAGGTTTATTTATCTTTATATTATATATATTAATATAGATAAGATTTTCTATTATAAATTATAGTATGTCTTTATATCTCTTATTTATATAGCGTTTATACTAAGTAATAGACTAGATAGCTAGTACTTTTAACTAGAATAGAATATAGCTAAAATAATTAGCTATATTATTAGCTCTAAAAAACTTACGTTTTTATATAGCTAATAGATTTAGTAGTACTAGTTACACTAGCTTAACTTCTAATCTTAAATAGAAGCTATAGTTTATAAAAAATAAAGATACCTCTATAGTTTTAGATATAATATTATTTATTATAAACTCTATAAGTAGTAGCTATTAGACTTAATTATCTTAGTAGAAGTTTATAAACGCCTAGAGGTATATCTTAATAAAGCTATTAACTTACTCTATTTATTTATCTATCTCTAGATAGAATAAGAATAAGTACTTAAGTATAACTTCTAAGTAAGTAGAAAGCTATATCTAGAACTAGAAGATAAACTATATACTATAATTAGAAATAACGTTATTAGAGTAGCTATAAAGTAAATAGATTTATAAAATAAACATATTAGTTAGCTCTTCTACATTAATTCTTATTATAGAAATAAAATAGCATATTTTTATAAGTTAGTAGACTACTATAAGAATATATTTATATTTTTAACTATATAACTTATACTTAGGTAGTAGAGTAATATAGTTAACTAATATATTAGACTATATCTAGAATAGAACTAGTAGTAGTTTTAAAAAGCTCTAGAGTAAAAGTCTAGATATTTTTATTTTATATATATAGTATAGGCTTATATATAAGTTTTAATATTATAGAAAATTTATAGCTACTAGTAGTTATAGTAGATAAGATCTATAGTTTTAACTTATTTAAAGTAGCTAGTAGAGCTAGTATTATAGATATAGTATAAGATCTATATATATAGTTTATTATTTAGTAGTATAAATATATAATTTCTATACTAAATATAGTTTTATTAGACTCTATAGTTAAGTATAAAGATCTAGAAAAGTCTTTAAAGATATTTTAGCTAGCGCTTTACTAATAAGTTCTCTAGTATAGTAATTATTTTCTATACTAGGTCTAATATCTTATATATAGTCTATAATAGGTTATTAATTAGTTTATCTATAGCTAGTAGAATAAGTACTACTACGTCTAGTAGAGTATCTTAAAAAAGCTTTATAAGAACCTTTTTATTAAATCTTTCTAGTAGTAGTATTATCTATATCTAGTTTTTAACGTAGTTATTAGTAAGATTATTCTTTATAGGTTAGTTGTCTAGTATATAACTTAATACGTCTAGTCTAACTACTTTACTCTCTAGGTAATATATAATATAGAAGTTAAATTATAAGAGAAATTTAGACTAGTAAATCTATCTTTAGAAGAGTATCTTTATTATAGTAAAGTATTTAAAATTCTTATAATCTATAATAATCTTAAATAGTTTAGTAGTCTCTTATAACTTAGAGTACTACTTCTCTAAAAACTTTATAATAGTAAGAAGTTCTTTATTATAAATCTTATAGTTATACTTAGTAGCGCTATACTTACTTAAGAAGTATATAATAGAGTAAAGTACGCTAGTATTATTATACTATAAAAGTATACTCTCTAATATCTAGTTAGAAGTATCTATTTTAAGAATTATCTTCTTTATATAGTTATATATTGCTAGTACTAGAGCTATTATAAATAATATCTTTAGAGTCTTAAAGGTTTACGTATACTTATCTATCTAGATTTATAGTATATCTTTATATAGTAGCTTATTTAGTAGTTAATATATCTTAGAGAAGTCTTAAATAAAACGTTAATAAAAGTTAGAGAAGCTAAGAAACTTCTATAGGTTCTTTAGGTATAGAAGCGTTGTCTATATATAAATAGTTTAAACCTTCTCTAAATCTATATAGATTCTCTCTAAGAAGATAATAAGACTAAGGTATTTTATTTTAATAATCTTAAATTTATACTTTCTAATATTAATTTAGAAATCTATATTAATAAGCTATTAGACTACGTCTTAGACGTATTATTAGTATTTCTTTTTATTTATAGAGTAGATAAGAATATTATTAAGGTATATAGTATACGTATAGTCTAGAAGATTATAAAGTATATAGTTAATATAGTTCTAGAATAAAACTAGCGTATTATAAAGGCTAAATAGTATAACTAGTAATTTAAAAAGTCTAAATTAGATAATAAAGGCTATTTTCTATTTATAGTCTTCTATAATTCTTAGCTTATTAAATATAATAATAATATTAAGCTTAGTATATACCTTAGTATTATATAGAGTATTAAGTATTTCTCTAATTAGTAGAAGTAGGTATTAGTTCTTTATAGTTATATTATTAAGACTTTAATAGTCTTAATAGATATATACTCTTCTACCTAGTTTTACTACTAGAAGTAGAGGTATAGTATAACGTAAATAGAATTTATATATAAAGCTCTTATCTAGATTATTATCTAGTTATTTTCTAATAACTTTTAATTTCTTAGTAGAGAAGAGCCTATTCTTCTAATATAGTAGCTTCTTTTCTAGAATAATATTAATTTTATAGTTCTAAGCTCTTATTAGTAGTAGCTTATTAGCTTTCTAGAGAAGAAATTCTACTAGCTTATTCTATAGCTATTCTAGTAGCCTTATTCTAAGTTCTAACTTAGAAAAAAGCTTCTTATCTTCTAGAAATTTATTAATATCTATTTACTTAAGGCTATAGAGGTAAATAGCTTATTAGTAATTATCTAAGAAATTATAAAATTAGCTAGAGAATTTATTATATAATTAGTTACTAATATATTCTAATAGAATATTAAAATACTTAGCTTTAGTAAGATTAGAAAGTATATTACCTTTTTCTTACTTACTTTCTTAGGCTATCTTATCTAAGTTATCTTATATAACCTAAATAGTCTAAATAGCTAGCTACTTATAGAATTAGACAAAATTTATAGTTTTAGAGAGGCGAATATCTTCTATTTTAAGTACTTTATATAGTCTATATATTAGTTCTAGAACTAGAATACTAAGCTATAGTTATAGTTCTTTTCTAATCTATACTATAAAGAGCTAGATATCTTCTACTTTTTAGGCTAGTATTTTCTTTATAAGATACGTATTTCTAATTATTATACTATAGTATTTAGATATTCTATCTTTATCTACTCTAGAATTATAGGTATAATAGTATAAGTAGTCTAGTATAAGCTTAGGTAGAATTTCTAGTAGTTAGCTTTTTCTATTTATATTCTTCTTCTATATATCTTTAGGTACATCTTTATATAATAGCGTAATATAGTTTAACCTAGAAGCGCTATTAGTTTTTATAGAAAGGTTTTACGTAATTAGTAGCAACTACTTAGTTTATTTATAAC